CCAGGATAAATTTTTGACGTGTAGCAAGCACTTTAAACAGTGACTTTTTTATGACAGTCACCAAGTCTTTCAAGGTAAGGGCATACACGCAAGTTACTGCACGGGAAGGTAAGAGGCCGTCACATAAAGCCAACAACCTGCAGGCGCTCTTACCCTGGTGCAAATGTCAGGTATTCTGAAACAGATCTCCCTTTGGTGCAAGACAAGTTGGCTAATTTCTTCTTACTTTAGCTGCCAAAGGGTAAGAATCTAACCTCAGGTACTACAAATCGGTCTACTATAAATTTACTTAGTCTAGTAAAACGGTCCACACTTGCACTACACAGCATCTATAAGATACTGTAAAGTGGATACAAAAGAGCAAAAAGCAGGCACTGCAGCCTTTTCTAATTGCCCTTAATTCAGGTTTCATATACACATGACACTTTACACTTCAGATCAAAACTTCCCAACTCAGTTATGTTCAAAGACTGCTGAAGAACTCATTAAAGTTTCATAAACGTTATACCGACAAAGCTAGCAAGATTGCAAGTCTTCGTAGGTTGCGTTTCCTCAGGTATATGAGAATAAAGGAAGAACCTTGGCAAGAGACCTGCCTTTCATTAAGGACATAGATCAGAACAGAGCCAGCAACATTTTTCTTCACTACTTAGTAACTCTGATGCGAAGTAGAATTATGAAATAAATTCTCTGGTGTTGATCATTCCTCTCTGTCTACTCTCAGTGTATTTCTTGCATTCTAAATTTTGAGGTTTTTTTCACAATTCCCTGCAATGTGGCCCGAGTTTTGCAATGGCTACGTGAACCTTTCATCTAGGCCAACAGCCATTTATAAAATGCTTTGATAAGCATTTCCCTCCTTAAAGCAGAAGCATCCTCAGGGGTTCAAGTGGGACCCCAACAAATGGGAAGGGGATCTGGAGTCTGGCAGAAATGTGTAGCACCGGCAGGCTGAGTTACTACAAAGGGGACCAGGCAGTCCCAGCCCTGATCTGACCAACAGTCTCTTTCACAGCTCAGTTGAGATTTCTCCATGGATCTGGAATGACACGAGAAGCGAATTTGTAAAACGTTGGCACACTGAGATAATTAGACGATAAAAGGCAAAACTGGGTGACCGGTAAGCCAAGAGTGTCCTTTATAAGCACTGATCTCAGTGCAACCACACAGGTCACACCTCCCTAGGGCTGGTACCGAGCAGGAACGAGTAAGGACTTGCACACCACTACAGCCCAGGGTTAAAGCTCCACCAGCTTACAAAGTGAAGGTTTCCAAGGGCATAGCAACAGCATGCTTCCTCTTGAAATTACTCATATTACTGTTCTTCTTTACCTTAATTTAGCATGTAATTGATGTAAATGTAAAACAAGATTTTGTTTCCCCAGACATTTATTTCCTAAGATTTGATTTACTAGAAAAAATACATTATTTCTAATTTATGGCAATCTCTTCTAAAATCTTTTCAATTACATGGGTGTTTGTGTTCCATTATTATCTTTCTCAGTTTGATGGCAGTATTATAACTGCACCAAGTTCTTTCCTAAAGAGAATGCTGGGTTTTTTTCCTCTTTTTCAGCTCACTGTACCCTGAAGTTATCCTGCAGATGATCCTTAATGAATTCAAGTGAAGCAGTGAAACCACATTCTCTGCGAGAACATTTCCAGCAAACTGTCCTCTACAACACTCTTATTTCTGTTTGGAGATGCAGAGACAAACAGATGGGGCTGTTTACAATCACCTCATGCACACACACAACTGTCTTTACGCTTTTTGAGAACTGGTCCTGTGCACATGCCAGAGGCAAAATTAAAAATAAGAGATTAAGAAAAATATCTAATCTCCTTTCAAAGACTCCAAGCCATGCTGCCACACTGTTGATTAACTTTATCTCCTAGGTCCTTTCACCTTTTCCCAGGCTAAGCTTAGTTAAGTTCCACTTTAGGCAGTGGATCATGTTATACCTTTATTTATAGAAAGAAAAATTCTCTGTTTCAGTCTTATCCTACATATAAAGTAATTAATCCATCCTCCAATATTTCTTCTATAAATTGCAGGTATTAAATATGCTAAGCATCAGAATACAATGTCTGTTTTTCTAGACCCCAGTTATTTTGGTTGAATCAACATCCCTGGAGGCATTTACAAGCTGTGTAGGTATGGTGCTCAGGGACATGGTATTGCCAGGTTTACAGTTAGACTTGATGATCTTTAAGTCTTTTCCAAACTAAATGATTCTATGACCTCAACAAATTTCAATGTCCTCTCTCTAGAAGGTCCATATATTTTTTAAAAATCCTGTCCAGGGTAGAGTATTTTATCAGGGCTTTCCAAAGCTGTGTTAGCAGAAAGACCATTTACTACTTTAAAATGTGTATTTTGCATCATCTTTTTAATCACAATACTTGTTATGAGGTTAAAGCAGTTGTCTATGAAGAGCCCTGTATTTTCCCGAACCTGTTCTGTATCATCTGTAGCTTACACTGTTTTCCATACGAGTATTTTCTCTTAACTTTAAAAGTCTTTGTCCTGCTTTTGTCTGGGACAGAGTTAATTTTCTTCAGAGTAGCTAGTAGGGGTCTGTGCTTTGGAAAAACATATTATGTTTATGGGCCTACATGCTGGAAGCAAAGTTAATAATGCAGGGTTATTTTTGTTATTGTTAAGCAGTGCTTACGCAGAGTCAAGGCATTTTCTGCTTCTCACCCCACACCAGCAGTGAAGACGCTGGCGGTGCACAAGAAGTTGGGAGGGGACACAGCCAGGACAGCTGACCACAACTGACCAAATGGATATTCCAGACCATAGGACATCATGCTCAGCATAGAAAGCTGGGGAAAGAAGGAAGGGGGTGGTGTTTGGAGTGAAGTAATTTTTCTTCCCAAGTAACTGTTACATGGGATGGAGCCCTGCTTTCCTGAAGATGACTGAATATCTGCTTCCCTATGGGTAGCAAGTTCCCCAGTTTGCTTTACTTGTGTGCGTGTCTTTTGCTCTCCCTATTAAACTGTCTTTATCTCAACCCACAAGTATTCCCATTTTTACTCTTCTCATTCTTTCTGATTTCTTCTCTCCAGCCAGCAGGTTGTGAAAGAGCAGCTGTGTGGTGTTTAGTTGCCAACTGGGGTTAAACCGCAACAGCCTTAAACTTAGCTAATTCTTACTTGTCTTCATGTAACATGTGAGGAATAGGCACCTCCAAAGAAATCTCCATGACACTAAACTGAGATACCTGTCCGCACCTTTGGAACACTTACAATAGCATTTCAGCACAAAATATAAGTGTAGTTCTAAAGCAAGTCTCCTCACCACTCTCACTTCCCACAGCAGAGAGGTTTCAGTGTATGCAGACTGGATTCCTTCCAGATGAGACTCAAGTAGCAGATACACTCCAGAAGTGCTACCAAAAGCACTTCAGTATGTACTTCCATTAATGGCAATTCAGTTCATAGGACAGGACAAAGTACAATTCTGAAAATGGACACTGGATCCTCAGCACAAGCCATTTCACTCCCGTGATTATTATGCCACATTGCTTCTTACTGCAGATGTAGCTTATGGCCTTTCAGAGACTGCAAAGAGAATTCTGGGAGACACAGTCTACCTGATATTTCAAATTTTAAAGTGGGATTGACATAATGAGACCATTTAACAAGCAGTTCACACTGTTCTACATCAGCAACTTGCTGTCCTTCCTTCCTTTGCTATCTGCCAGTCTTTGTTGACTACAAATACTTTTATATCCAGGGGCCTTTGTTTTATCAAGACAAAAAGCCTCTTAACAAATTTGAGCCTTTGATGACTTTATAAACCATTCATACAATCTTGTCCTCTCAAGAGACAGTAGGCATATCTGACAACACCCATTTTAAATTAAACAATGCTACATAGGGCAAATATGTTTGTCTTTTAATTCTTGGGAAACAGGAAAACAAATTATTAATGCAGTGCAAACCTACTATTTATTAAGTACTGAAGCAATATTGCACGGACCCAGATCCTACAGTACTAGGCGGTGCAAAGATAGGATGGAAGGGTCCCTGTCCCAAATAGTTAAATATCTAATTCTAAAAGCTGTTACAATTGTACAATAATTGCTTCATGGGATTTTACATTAGAAATGTTAATTACATACACGCATGTATTTTAAATTGATTTTATCTTTTGCTTCGTGTTCTAGTTGCTCCAGCATTGCAAGTAAAGGGTCTAATCTTGGTCTTATGAAAATCAAAGTGAGTTTCTCCCAGTATAACTGCATCGATGCATTAATTAACACCATACACTATGGCACTTTATGGAAAGGTGGACAGAATGGGAAATTAATACACAGCACAAACAAATATTATTTTTCTGTTCACATCACTAGATATGTTCCCACTTTCCTTCCAAATAATCATTGTTAATTCAGATCTTTCTTAGTTCTATGGTGGCTTTTATATTTGATGCTAGCTACAAATGTGTTTCCTTCTTTCCTCTCAATTTCTTCTTGAGGTCTTAACATAGATCCACAGTACGAACTTGTGGCAAAACTCATCATTATTTTTATACAAGAGTGGTGAAGAGAGAAATGATTTAACTATTGTTGACACTGGAACACTGCAGAAGTGCTGGGAAGACAACCAGCTCTTCTGAGTTTCCTCTGTTTCTTGACTGTCTCTTTTGCCTTGCCCTATCACAACAGGAGCCATGCCACGTTGCTCTGGTGGAAGAAATACATAAACATGAAAAACCAGCAGCTTGATGCTAAACCAAATACCAAAGAATACCATAACATGGGAAAAAATTAGAGAATATATTGCCTCATAATGTAAGACGGCTGAGAACTGAGTCTGCGCCGTTTACTTGCAGTAGCCTCTTCCAATCTCTCTAACAAGATCTGGTGGAACACACACAGGCTTGCAACCCAGGAGCTAATCAAGGCACTCTCACCCTTAGCCAAGTGCTGTTTTGTAAACTCTTGTATAAAAGATTACAGCAAGAGAGCAGGATTCATGTTCATTACCTGAATTGTCTGGTAAACTGAAGGATCAAATCCTTTCACAGTCACCTCTCGGAAAACTCTTGGCTCCAGTTCCTCTTTGGTCAGATCACAGTGATATATAATGCCTAAAATAGAGTGCAAGTTTGTCAGCTTAGTGTATGTCCATCACTAAAAGGATGTTGGTTTAGGAATTGCGATAGAATAATTAAAGGCTGAGCTAACCCAAGAGAGAGAAAAACAGTAGCTCCAGACACATTCTTTCATTTAATATGTAATTCAAGACATACATAGAAGCACTTCGTCTAGGGAGTGTGCAAAGGCTTTCCGTACAGGAAGAATAATTCTCACCACCCATAAAAAGCCAGGTACCCAAACTGGGTTATGCAAAATGGAAAAAATATTTGTTTTCATAAAGTTACACAGCACTTATTGAGAATGGTAATGTTGGACTAAACAAAAAATACAAATTCAATTTTAAAACACCACCTCTAGAGACATCAGACTGACAATAAATAGAACAAGAAATTCAGGGCAATACTTTTCTCTTTATGATAAAATAGTTTGAAATTACAATTCAAACAGACACTCAGATAACAGAAAGGCCCGAGTATCCACTTGAAATTGCAGCAGACTAGCACAGGTCACCTATGTAACTGAACAGAATTTGGTCTCATATAATTTATTTTACATCCTGATCATGCAGGTTTCATTAGCTTGAGCTGTGCCTATGATTTCCAAAGGATTGTGCATATGAGAAAACTTAGGACTAGAAGCAGTATAAAACTTCTAGGTTGCAGCAGAGGCAGATACACAGACACTGTAGCAATCTACACACTACACAGACGTGTAGAAGAAGAATTCTGTATTTAGACTGTAAATCATATGTCAGTCAGCCCTGATAACATTTAAGCACGTGTCATAGAATGTGACTATCGCTGTGCTTGCACATTGGTTAACACACTATAAAATCCTAATATTCATGGATATACCACAGATACATATGATACGTAAAATCAACCTCAGTGTTAATTATTCTTTGTTTTTCTGCTATAAAACAAGTTGATCCCTAAAATTTAAAAAATCTATTAGGGAAAAGAGCACTAAAAGCTAAGGCAACAAGCCTTCTACAGGGATTCTCAATATAATAAAATAAATCAAGGTGGACATGACTTGACTGAAACACTGCTGTATTGTGTATTTTAGATACTTCCAGGAAATGAGAAGTAATTATTACAGAATTTATAGCTATAAAAAGTTATATTGAAACATGAAATAATGAGGAAATCTATCTAATACAAGGGAATTGCCTCATTAAATCACCTTTGTAAACTGTGGAAAATCAAAAAGATACAAATTGGCGAAAGAACACCAATGAAACCAAACATTTCTAATAACTGATAAAGCCTCTTTCCATAATGGTGAATTAACAGAGGAATAAAAGTAGGACTCATTTAATATGTTGGCAATTTTTTTTATTTTGTTGGTCACAAGGTGGCTAGCAAGGCTAATGGCAGGGCAACAGGTACAAACAAATGTTAAAGCACCATTTCCCTGAAAGATGAGGATCCAGTGATGGGAAAGCACAAAGGAAAGACCGCCAGGCTGTAAGAAGCAGAGCGGTCATTTGACATATATGCAGCTGCCCGAGCTGGATCATGTATTGGCAATCACCACACACAGAGCAGGCAGAGCAGCTGCTTATTAGGAAACCACATGATGAGGTATAAGCACAGTCATAAGACTGCATTACGGGAGTCAATCAAACTATTACAGCAAATGCAACTGAACTCCTAGGACCGCACAACTTGTTGTATTTTTAGTGGCATGGTGGTTAATGTCCCAAAACACAGTAATGCTGGGGACTGGGCTCTTTTGCTGGCTGCTAATTAAATGCAAAACGCTGGAGTGCTCACCTAAGTGTCTGACTGGAGTGGACAGCAGGGATAAGCATATTTTTCAGGGAATAGCGACAATTATTTTTATGGTGACAGCATCGATGGTGTTAAAACTGCTTTATTCATTATTTCATATATGTTTACTGTTACTTTTGTTATAGGTATTTAAGACCAGTACATGATAATTTGTTACTCATTAGAAAAAAACCCCACAAACATAAAACAGTGCAACTCAATACAAGTGTAAATTGTATTGATTTCTAATAGTAAAGTAGGACCAATCACATACCTTTTGCCTGATTATTCCACTGATAGGGCAAATGGAAGTTGCAAGCAGACCTCTCTGGTCTGCTTTCCTCCTCCTTTCCTTATTCCCATACAGTCTAGCTCCATTCCTTCCATTCCTCTTTCTTCTAGATACCAGGTCGCTCTGTCCCAGTTAATAGAGCTACACCATGGCAAATTCTCTGTAAGTGCTATGCACAGGGATGAAAGGGAGAAAAAAAGGTCTTCCTGAGCCACTAGCAGGCAAAGAGAGCAGCCACTGCTGCCTGGTTGGCAAACCACAGGCTAAAACTGATCTCCAGGCTCTTCCCTTCCACATGTTCAGCAGCTGCAGAGACTGCTGCCTCAGCTGAGACGAACAGTGCAGGCTTTTAAGACCAGCAGTCACAGATAAGTGTTTTAAATCACTTATATCACATGTCGTGGCATCAGCAGACCCTGCTGACTACATCAATTTGTCACAGTGGAGTGAGATTTAGGTCACTTAAAGAATCACCATCAAAGATATTAGCAAAAGTGACTTTTAATATGAATTTGTAAAAGTGTGTCTTAACAAGTTCTATGGCAAGGTTCACTACATGGAAGAAATGTGGAAGATCAAATCAGAATTGGGCTAGAATGATTTACATAGAGATTGGGGATGAAAAGGGTAAGGGAGGCTCTTCCTATTAAGTCACAAGGTTCGGAATGGACCCTCTTGCTTTCTAAACTCCGCAGAGAGGAGTCTAAGTGCAGCTAGATGCAATCTTAGTCTCAGACTTTGTCAATGGTTTATGTCTCAAGGAATTAGGTACAGACATTTCAGTGGTATTGATTTAACCTGGTATTATGGGTCTTGTATAGCTTTGAGGCACTTACATAATAAATCATAAGACTAGACTGTATTATTTTCAAGCAATACTTTATCAGTAATCAACAATCTGCTATAATCAGACTGACTTAGCTAAAGATTCAACAAAGTCAAATCGCGTGCACTCACACAGAGGTATAGAGGTTATCCTATGATTGAGATGTTTCTTCCTCTGCAGATTATAGTAATTTTTGATACCCAGTGATTTTTGAAACCTTGTGAGAAACCAATTATAGGGAATTATTCACTTTTCCTTCATTGGCATTTACCAGTGGACTAAAGACTAGGAGTCTTTTACCCCTTATTTCTCATCAGCACCTACCAGTGGACAATCAGTGTTATGCCACAAACACTACCTTGAACCTGGCAAAAGTCTACCTAGAGGCATCCCAGCTCAGGGGGAGATACTGGGTCACAGCCCACTGTGATCCCAAGAGAGCTCAAAGAAGCTCACTTAGGATTGGTACTTAGGGGGTCATAAGATGATTGACTTTGGTCAGTACTTTTTCACTGTGACCATTCTTCTTGCCAGGCAATCTTGGCACCCTTCAGAGCAGACTGCAGAACTCGGCAGGAGGAGCTCTGAGTACGTTTCCTCAGGCAATAGGAGCTTCAAGTGCTGTTAGGAAGTGCCTAAACGTCCTAATCCACTGTACCTGTACCCAAGACAAGAGAGTACCAGGTTGTCTCAACTCACTGCTCCAGTAGACAAGTTCAGGAAGTGTCACATTGTCCCAGCATGCCGGGCTTTTAGTCAGAACAAGAGCACAATGTTGACTGGGGCTGACATTGCAGCCCAGGGGCAGGGGTGTGGAGGGGGCTGCATCTGGCCCATGATGTGGGATGTGAGCATGTGAACTCATCAAGTTGGGATGAAGTTAGAGGTAAATGTAAGTGTCCTTGAGCTCTTCTCCAGTTGCAATGTCTGCAATGATCTAAATGTTGTTTAAAAGTTTAGTCAAGAGGAACTGGACACATACTATTACGTAAACAGTAAGGTTATAGGAATTTCATCACACTTATCTGCTAAGCCTGAAAAACAATTTTGATAATTTGACACAAATCTTCCTAGCAAAATCAGCAAACCTATCAAAACCATTATACGGCCATTTTGCAACGTGGCTGTGCTCTAACTGAAACAGCAAAAATATACAGCAGATACTATATGAACATTTTTCATCATCTTACAATCAATGATCACTCACAAACCTGGAAGAATAAAGCTTCTGGAGCCTATCTACCTTCTCCATATTCAACTGCTGTCCTTTACTAACTATTGATTGTTTGGGAAAGAAAGATGGAAGTGACCCATAACAGCAAATAAATTTTATTGTCATATACTAACTTGACACTTGTGCAGAGACTCCCCCCTTCCTATTCAAAATCCTAGAATTCTTACTGGTGTGCCACACATTTATCACATAAAGCTCTTAGCTTTGCAGTATCGTACAAAGAGTATTCCTACAGCAATCCAGTAATGCCAAGTGCTGTAAGGGCAGACAGCAAGGACGTGCTTAAGAGGCTAGACATAAATGAATCATAAAGGTGTCAGAAAAAGAATTCTTGTGACTTTTATTGACATTCTAAATTCTGATGAAAATCACATTAAACACATTAACAATTGTCTGCAATGGAGTTTCTAAACATATCTTGGTGCATGAATCAAGAGCTGTGAGAAAGTTACAATTTCATCTCTAGTACAAACCAGTATTGAGTAACTTCTCCACGCAGGTCTCTCAAGTAGGTGTATTATTTAAGTTTCATGAATCAAGGACTGGTACATTTTGAAGTGCAAAACCACTACTTACTACATGCGAGGAAGCAGTTTTATATGCATCCTAAACATACCTAATAAATACTAAACAACAGAAACCAAGAAAAATATAGTTCCCAGGAAAAGGAATAATAACTAAGGAAAAAAGTCTTACCTGGAGATAAAAAGGAAGTAAACTGATAGAATATTTCAGTGTCCTTCTTTTGGCCACTATAACCAACAATACTGCCAACCTCTAGGGGAAAAGTCTTGAGATGTGCACCAGTAGCTAAGTCATGAAGTTGCAGGATATTCTTCACATCGTGCAGATAGCACAAAACCAGGAAGTTGGACCTCACACAAGCAACCCATTCTGTGGAATGTGAAAAAGAAAAACAAAGCCACAGAAAAGATAGTAAAAAAAATTATAAGAAAGAAAAAAATCAGATATAATCTGATTCTAAAATGCGTTAGCATACCTAAATACATGCACCAATATTTCCACAGATGTTGAATTTAACTCTTACATCTTTAGAAGTCATCTGCCTTCTGAAACAAAAAGTGTACCCAAAAGTAAAGGCTGACATTTTTTTTGGAAATACATTAACCATACCACTTAAAGCTAATTTATGCAGGCATAGGAATAAAGAATTGCTTAACCAAAATGATTATGCATCTGAGGTGGTTATAGATCAATACAATAGATCTTAAATATCACATATTTCAGTGCAAAACCCAAACAAAACACCAATCTTTGCCAGCAACACTTCTGGAAATGCATGAAAATCAAAACAATCATTATGATTTAGACTCAAGCTAAACTAATAAGAACCAGAAGACATGTGATCCTGTATTGCACATTAAAGTATAGAACCTAGACTGCTATTCATCTTGTTTTTCCTGCCTAGGTATTCAGAAGCTGTTCTCATAAGCAAGGTCTACCAGGTGTAAGAAAAGGGTCATTCCGAGGTGACGTCCATGGCATGCCATCGAAAAAAACGCAACATGTTTATTCACAAAGCTAACGTTGTTAAACAGCACTCTTTGGACTGTAAGGTAGTAGGAAGAGGATGCAGTACAGTGAACTCAATAAGGCAAAAGGACCCAGGAGCAAAATGTTCATTTCCTTTACACCTCTCCTGGCAGCGCCGGGGTCCCTGTGGAGCTGCCCACCTCAGCTGTGCAGCTGTGCAGAAACGAGAGCTTCTGCTTCACAGAACCTTTCATATTCTGAGTTTGCTCCACAGAAGAATTACCAGAGATATGTGAGCTTTTTAAGAGAATGCTAATTTTTCAATTGGACTTTAGGAAATCCAAGCTGATTAAACACAAAATAAAGTCTGGGCTGGCAATTTCCACAAAAAATCCCCACAGTTCTACTGACCGTCTCACTTCTATCCCCATCTGTGAAGTTCAGAACTGCTTCCGTTCACCCAGAATGTATCACATAACACACTCTCTTCTGTCTCTTGGACCACTGGCTTTAGGCGTTTAGCGACACATCTATTTATTTACTCATGCAGGCAGAAAAAAAGACTGAAACGCCTTCGTCTCTCTTAGTATTTCTGTCATGTATGAAACTGGCTACCCTACTTTGCAACAAAAGTGTTTCCACTTCTCATTAATTCACAAATCAAATACAAACAAAGTACAGACAATGTTAAAAGTCAAGAAAAAATATCTGCAAAGAGGGAATGATAGACATGTTCTTATTTGTAGGACTAGGTGAGGCAGTGATTCTTGTCCTCTTCCTACTATATATGTGCAACTTCTCCCCTGACAAGTCAGACTGGAAATCTAAATTCTTTCTGAATTGAAGGTAAGAACTCATCGTTCTGTAACAATTAGCTTCTTTACCAGTCTCTGCACTTACATACAGTTAAGGTCTGTCATGACCCCGCAGAGCTCAAAGACCTTCAAATCCTAATAGCTCAACAGATTTTACTTTCTTTTTAGCTTGTTCCTGAAGGACCAGTGAAATTTAAAACTAGTCTGACTTTCTAGCCTTATGAATTTGTCTTACATAAGCATCAAAATAAACCTTACTACTCTTCCCAAAGACCACCAGTGACTTTTTTTTTTTTTTTACCTTCAGATTTTCTGACTCTATCAAGAGCTTCTGGCCTAAATTTGGGAATTTTCTAAGCGAAGCCCCAGAGTACAACACTAATTGAAATTTCAACCATGAAGCCATGACCTGAAATAACAAGATACAGCACAACATACCACTGTCTATAAATTAGTAATTGATGTGCAATTTTAGCTCTGAAGTGACTTAAATTTCTTAAGTGAGGCTTTGTAAGTTTAGTTGTTATATCCAACTACATATTTTGAAATATAAAACCATAGTTGTATGAACAAGGAGAAAATGCAGTAATTTAAAATATTTATTGCATTGTCACTGTGTTAATCTGCCAACATTCATTTAACTAGTTTATAAGCACAAAATATAAACTAAAAACAATAGCATTCCTACAGTAACACCACTTTTCCCTGTGGAATTAACAGCTCTGCAGTAAGTATGAGATCCCATGAACTTCACCGATATTTTCAGTAACATCTGTAACTAAAACGTCCAATTTTACTCCTGAAAATTCCTAACACTTAGAAGTTTCACAAAAAGGATTAGAGATGCTCTCAAGTCAACTTCAAACATATATAATATGTAGGTCTGCTTCAGCAAAAATACTACTTAAGAAATCTTTATTTTAAAATTAAATTGTGATGACCCTTAATTCCTCACTAATCACTTGATGAAACACTGCGGTTTAATGGATGTCTTCATTAAAAGTCGAAGTACATTATTACTTTGACTTACATATTACAAAGAGATATTACTCTTTATTTAGAAAGATTTAAAAAGCCCAGAGATAAGGCCGCTGTCTTATGTGGGAATTCCTCCTATTGAAGAACTTCCCTAGGAAGCAGCAATATTAATTCTCCCTCACCTCTTCGGTTTACAAATTAGATGCTTTCACCAAGGTGAAGGTAACAGATGGGAAGACAATATAGAATGTGTTAAAAACACCTCATAAGACTTAGGAACAAAGCTTCTGTGTACAATACCTATATTATAACAGGTTTTGGTGCACTGCTAACTGCCTTCAAAACTTAAAGTAATGGAAGCTACAAAGAAATGCAAAAACCAAAGCAGAGCAAAACACTGAAGCAGACTTGGAAGAGCAGAAGAAACAAAGAAGACACTAAGAACCAACACTTGTATACACGGCAAGTTAAAAGAATGCTGAATTATTAACAAGAGCTATTTTTTGAACTGCAAGCTACAAGAGGAGTCTCTGTTACTCCCATGCTTGGCACTGACAACTGCAGATACTGTCAAGTTGGTTGCATTAATAGTCAGCCTTCCTGGTTTTGCACACACTTTGCAGAGCATGCCCTGTGTGCCTCTCTGCTTCCTGGAAGCTTTTCAGCTTGAGGGCCTGCAGACCTTAACATGTCTAAAAGTTAAGACCGACACCACTGCTGCAGGCTAACTTTACAGACAACAGGAAGAAACAGGCACCTCTAGAACGTGGTTCACCCAATGATACCCTCTTTCGGGATACTGTGAATTGCTTGCTGAGCAGTTTCACACACACAAGTGGTTTGTTGTGGATTTTTTTTTTAAAAAAAAAAACTTAATCATCTGAGACCTCTCCAATGTATAGGGTCAGTTTATTTTCAGTTAATACCAATGAACAGAGTAGTTATTCTCACGTTTAAATCTAAAGTCAGCAATTGTTCTCCAATCCATCTACATACAATACTTATCAGGCAAAGGATTTATTTTACCAAACAAAAACCATAGAGGTTGCCTCTTCCAACCTAAGCCTCTTGGCTGTGGCACAAGAGAGAAATGGACATGCTTGGAGGCACTCATAGGTACTGAAAGCGCACGAGAAGAATTACCCTTAGTACTGCCCATTTCTCTCTGAAAATGACAGTGACCACTTGATGACTACAATAGGTTACACATGATTCCTCAGTAGCTAAACTTGGGCTAGAGAAATTATACTTCTTACCAAGTCTTAGAAAATTGAGCTCCAGAGGTTCTCATTCAACCTTTTAAAAATTCAAATACAGCTACTTTGCAAAAAGGCTTTTATTATGACAGCTTTGATTAGTAGCAAAGGCATGCCACTAACCTGGCACCTGCAACACTCCTATGAACAACTTTTGAAATGTTTCAGGAAAAAAACAGGTTGAATCATCACACCAAATATCTGTGCCACTAACCTTAATTACTTATGACAGTTCTGACCTTTAATTTCTGCAGCAGGAGCTACAGCATGTTAAGTGTTTGACTGTGCAAACGTGCTTTGATAGATGCAGGCTGCAATGTTGATGGAGAAGAACATGCCAAGCTACAAGAGCTAGGTAGCTGTAAGTCTTCAGCAGAAAACTGCTGAGCTATTTGCTGCAGAATGCGCTTGTGCATCCACTCAACAAATAATGACTATATTTCAATGGACTGTCAGAGTTTCAGGTGGAAAACAGAGCTGGCAGATCATTTGGATTTCTTTGGTCATCACAGACAGTGGCTATCATCTTCAGTGTCTCTGCAGATTAACACGTATCCATGCTGATCTCAAATACAGTGACCCGTAACCACCCCTCAAGGCTACTTGTGGGTAGACTTGCAAGCAAAGCATGGGCAATTTACAGAATAAAATATGAATCATTCTCAAACACGTGAGTAAATGTTGATGAGGCTCACAAGAAAGCATATGTCTCCTCTTAGATCCCATTCTCAGTGACAGCCTGCCATGTGTAAATTAATGGAAAAGCTCAAGCCAGATCAACAAGACAAAGATTTTACACCCTGCATGTTCTACGTACGAGACACACAACTGAGAGACGGAGCGGGGAGAAGCAAATCTCCTTTTGAAGCTGCAAATATCAAGACTAATGCTTCCTTAAGTAACGTACAGGTTTCAGTCACCTGTGAATGATGCAGATTTTCCATGGCAAACAGAGTTAAACAGAGCCACAAAAGCCCTACCAGGCAAGCGAAATAAAACTTTCACTCAGGGACACGCATCTGGCGTGGCCAGATCTTAAAGGGTGCTTTTTGTTGCTGGGAAAGACTGGACCTAAGTCACATTCCAGTTGGTTTGGTTGTTGGCAGTTTGTTTGGGTTTTTTTTCCCTTCATTTCAAAGTAGAGGCTTATCAGACTGGTCATTCGTGTTGGAGACAGTTTCCTCCTTTCTGCCACACCTCTGCACTAGCCGTCTCCACAGCATGCGTTTGTCTGGGCTATACACAGAAGGTCACGCAACTGCTCCTCAGAAGTCACACAATCATTCATGCCCCCTCTTCACGAGCAAAACTCAAGCGTGTAAAGCTATGAATCCTCTGAGAAACACCACAGGGTAAAAGAGCACACAAGCTTCCCGATGGCTGAGATGAGGGATTACTCATATCCATGCACAACCTTGTCATTCAGGATCAACAATTTCACAGTATTCTTTCCAGACTTTGCCTCCTGGTTTCACTATAATGCCAAAAGATACACTGCAGTTGCAGTAACTCCCTTTCCCAAATTCCTAGGCATTTATGAATTAGCTAGCAGGCTCCAGGTATGAAGAAAAATACTATTTTCACTTGGAGTGCACACTGTAGTTGAGGGAAGGGAAGCCTTTGACATACACTGGTGTGTACAGGGTACAGCAGCATTGCTAGTTTTACCCCTGCTGGTAAAATGGTCAACTGAGATTCGAGGAACTGTTCAAGAACACTTATCTCATAGAATCATAAAGGTTGGAAAGGACCTTTAAGCTACAGCCTTACACCACCCTAATACTAAACCATCTCCTGAAGTGTCAGATCCAACCGTTTTTTAAACATGTCCAGCGATTTGTCTCTAATCTTCAGGTAAGTAGAACAGATATGCTTCATTTCCAGAAAAGATATCATGAAAAGAAATACAAACAAAATAAACACATGGCAGGGAATATGCAGACATGCTCACTACTGGAATAAGTTTTTTGTGCAGAAAGTGAAGGCTGGGAACTCAATGCTTAAAAGAAAAAAGAATAGCGACACTGTCCCATCAAATGATTCTCCTCTATCCTGGAATGTGTATCAGGCAGAATGTCCTTGATACAGAAGGAGTGTATGGGATTGTGGCATTAGACCGATTTAAAGCAAAGTAGACAGTTTTATTCTCGGCAATTCTTAATCAACGAGTCTTAGTTCAATGGTCAACTCTGCATCATGAATAAAAAGGATTCTTTTAATAAAATGTTTTCCACTTTATACCTACTACTAGTTGTTAGAATTTGAAAAACTCAGCAAAATGATGACAATCTATGACACATTCAGGAATTTGTCTTCTTTCACAGCCCTCCTTACTCAGGAGATCTATTCTGGTTTTCTTTCCACTATCCCAAATACAGGGCTGGACGTAAATGCTAGTCTCAAGTTGCCCTGAGCTACCAGTATCTGTCACTTTTGGGGTGGGGAAGATGTCACAGTTCTCAAAATCAATTAACCTTCTAAAACCAGTAAGTTTATTTTATGTCTTAGAACTAGGGTCGCAGTCTCTGCATTTACAGTTTCATAGCTGCCTTTTAACCAATCCAGCACACCTACTTGCACCTGTGTGGTCATTTAAAGAACTAGTTCAATGTTAGATATGAGTCTCTACTATGGTTCTATTTTAGAGTCCCTGAAAATTAAAGTAACACTTTATAAACACACTCCAAAGGGGAGGAAATGAGTCTCATCACACTCCAATATGTTCTGAGGCCCCTCTCAAATTTCATTTTAGAATAGCTGTCACTTATTTCTTCCTCTCAGCTCATGGAGTAGAGTCCTAAATTTACCTCAACTCTGTGTGAAATCCCTGCTGAGAGTTGTAAAATGAGGCGTGTGTACAACCTCATTGCAGAAATGTTTGATTTTTTCCCTGTATTTCCAAAATTAGCTCATTTATAAACAGTTCTGAAAACAAAAAGGTCAAAGTCAATAAAAAAGTCTACCTTGAAGAATACGCTGAAGAAACGAACTAACATTCACACCACCTTGTAGGCATGCATGTTTGTTTCTTGGTTAGATTACATTAGCTATGATACTTTGTGAAATTTCTCTTTTTACCATTGATGGACACTGGCAGAGCTTCATAACTCTTAAATCTGAATTCATTATTCATAAATAAATTTATTTCTTCACGTGCATGCTGCAGCTTTTATGAAACTGAATTTAAGTTAACACACAGAAATGAAGGCAGTCAGGGCCACTAGGCAGGTCACACCAGAGATTCCTGAGCTGAGTATCTATATCCAGGAAAACACATTTGTGACCTGGAGCATCACTAACTACATAAAGAATTTCTAATACAGCTAATTACATCTTGGTAAAGAGTCACTCCCACACATATGCAAGATTGCAAAAGCAGCAATACTCATTTACCCTTTGAATCATGGCTGTCCCAGCTTTTGCAGAAGGCATTTCATTACACTGTAATCTCAGGATCACGCAAAAATCAAATTCACTTGACTGCAAGGTTTTCAAGACAATGAATTATTAACTGCCTTCTGCTATAACTCTGTCTTTCTAAATGAAAGGGTAGAATGATTAAAACAACATGAAATAGAGACTAGCTTGCTTGCTGACTTCACCGAGAAGTCAGCAAGAGTGTGGCATTTTAATTTTTTGGGGGCTACAACCTCCAGAACATGATAAAACTCTCTTATCTTGGTGCTGAGGATGCAACACTAATTTGCAAGTGTCTGCAACAAAGAAGCAGATGAACAAACTTACCTTACTGTAGCACTAAGATATACTTATTACTCATTGTTTTACAGATACACTTTAATTTGTTGACTAAATCCCTCTATGCACCACTCCAAAAACCTGGAGAGAGAGGTGGACCTATCACCTACTCTGGTTTCACATTCAAATGATGTAGAATTTTAATGACATCAGACACCTGAAAGTCACTCTGATGGTTTAATATGATAATGTTTGCCTTCAAGTGTTTAAGAGCTGAATGCCTATTGTGTTTATAGTCTGAAGGCCAGTGCCCTCAAGCAAACCCACTTATCTGAACTTTCAGTTTTCTAAATGTAGTTCTTGGTATGTTTGTACAGTGGAGGCTGTTGTGTATAAACTGTTAAAGGAGCCTGGCACGCACTTTTTTTTTTCCTTTGCATGTGCACAAACACGAACTCAGCATGTCTTTGCTTCAGAATGAAACAAAAACTGTAGTTGAGCTAAATAATGCAGGGTAGTGAAGAGCAGATACAGTTTTTATCTTACTAGGAAGCAGTATATACAGCCAGTGCCTATATAGCCACTGGTCAAAGCTCCTCTGGCTGCCTAAACCACTTCTCAGGTTAATCCACACATAGTAACCACATTTCATGTAAATCACACGTTTCTGCTCCACTCTGTCTAGACACTCACCATCTCTTAAGTCAATTCTTCAACTTGGTCCCACTTTATAAATCGCTGTTCCTCATAGTTTAAGCATGGCTTCACATGCTGTCAGCAAATTTGCACGCCATCAGAAATTAGACTTGGAAGCAATTTTCCACTTACACCTATTATCTATTCTTTGCTTAGGACTTGAAAGGTATTGCATTTAAGGTGTGGATGGTTCTTGATTCAAAAAATTCACAATCTTCAGAAAAAGATGTGTGTCTCCCTAAGCTCTAAGTTGCTACTTTTACGTTTACCAAAATTCCTGCAATATTCTGGACTCAAGTCATTTGCAATGTCACTATAATTCTGGGCATGCTCAGAACTACCATTTACGTCACACTGAGGGCATACGCTGTCTTGGCTGCGGCAGAAATCGCACATTGTGAGATGCAGACAGAAATTCACTTTTTTTTAATATTTCCTGCAAAACAAGATTTTAAGTCAAATAGGTTTGTCTTAGTGAGGAAAGACAGAAGTTACTGTATATACACAAGTGCTGGGCTCTTTCTCTTTTCTTTGCTTATAAAGTTCCTCTTGCTGTAATGCCTTACTGTCTAGTAAACATTTACTACACTGACATGAAGTAGGAAAATATTTTCGCCTTGTTTCCTACAAACAGAATTAAAACAAGGACAGATGAAGCAACTTGACTATGGCCATGCCAGACCTTGGAGTCAGGGGCAGAGACAGAGAGATACCGGATCTCGAGTCCCAGCAAATCTTTTAACTGCAAATCCTAAACAAAGTTTGACCACAGTAAAAAAAAATAAAAATAAAAAACTATAGAAGATCATTTGATAGACTAATTATTAAATTAACTTGAAAAAAATCAGAATAGAAAGCCTTTTGCTTGACATGAATTCTTACCTAGAACATCTCTTTCATGTTCGGGGACAAGAACTTTCCATTTGGATTCCTCTGGGTCACTGAAGTCAATGTTGATTAACCGGTAATTTGGAGAATGGCGGTTTGTCTTGAAAGTGAACACTGTTCCTTCATTGGTGACATACTCATACTCAGCCTCAAAGTTATCTATCAGCTTCACCCATTGAAGAATTCCTGCAAGATCAAACATATAATGTAAATACTCGATGTCCTGAAACAAAACATTTTAACACTGGAGGGCAAGGTCTTCCTGACAATTGCTGTAAGCTCTTTCTTTAGCACAGGCAGTGACCAGAGGAGGTACAGCTATGGAAAGGGCCAAATATGTACAAAGAACTTAAAAAGAATTCTCTAGTAATAGGCTGCAGTGGAAAAATGCCTGTTCACGGACATGTTAGAATATTAAGCTTTAAGAAATTTCTAGAAGAATATACACTGACTATTGACAGAACTATAGCCAGCATTTCACCAGCTTTCCTAAGGGGCTGCTAGAGGGCTCAAGGGTTCACTACAGAAGTGCTTCTACCACACTGACTGACACGGAGCCAACATCGCCAAGCACACCAGGTTCACGGAGCTCACAATTGTCCACTTCTACACACTTCTTTGAATGAGGAGTCACAGCTGAGTCAAAAGACTCTGCACTAACCTTTCAAGTACAGTTTTATTCTTAATAGCTTGTTTTTTTAAAAAAATATTTAATTATATATTTTTTCTTTCTGAAAAAAAATCAAACATTTCCATCCTCCTTAAAAGCCTTGATTTTCCCACAAAATAGAAATGATGCTATATGAATAAATACAATAAACTTCCATATGAGGAACTTCCCTGTCAATTCAGAAACAATGTTCCTGAAGGATTGATCTGCAGAAGCTGGTCACCATCAGAGAACAAAATATTAACCTCTGGGTTTATGAAGAATGTAATTGCATGTTCCCTATCAACCCTCTAGAATGCCATGCTCACTAAGAGAAGTGCATTTCTCTTAAACATGGATTGCCTCAGTTTACTCACTCTATACCACACTGTCTTAATACTGACTAAAAGACTCACTACATTAAATTCACATTTTACTGTTTTGTAATTGGTTTAGGCACTAGTAGAGAAAAAATAGTAAGGCTAGGTCAGATATGTCGTATGCTTATTATATTTACAACTCAATCTATCAACCAAACTTATTATAAGCATCATACATTGGCTATGCTGAATAATGAGAATCCTTACTGACATGTGAAATTAAAGCTTTTATATCTTAAAATAACATTTGGCACCCTCTCTGCCTCTTTCCTGCAACTGAAGGTTGGGTCTTTGCTTTTAAGTATAAACAAATAAACCCTTCGTAAATCAGTTCATGAAACTCTATAATGTAGTGTTTGCATCAATAAAGCAGGACATCAAGTAATTTTATAGTATTAAAAGCTGAGCAGAAAAATGGAAGTAGATCATAGCTGAGCTGTAATTACTGCAAGTTTTTTTAAAAAAGAAAAGAATAATTGAGGAAGCAGTGAGATGACTAAGGTCATTTAAAATCCATTAAACATAATAAGACGGTATAGCCAGGCCTAGTACATTCACAAAGCTCAGATCTCTTAATTACCATCTTGGTTCAAGGAAAACTTCCCTGGCTCTGCATAAAAAGTGATAGATTAGCCAATTAAATTCTAGTTTTCATACTGCTGTAATACAAACTTTCCAGACAATACAAATACAGACTTAGTACCCTGTCTCTGAGTGAATTGACTGCATGTTAAATCTTGATTTTCGCTGAGGTCTAAAGTTTTGTCCTTCTCAAGAGATTTTATGTTGAAGAAAAAACCTGCAAAGTCCCTTGAGCTGCTCAAAGTTCTACAGATTGATGCCCAGTAAAACAAAGAAAATTCAGCCTATAGCAAACTCTAGAAATTGTTTTAAGATATCAAGTTTATTTAGTAAATAAAAACCACTGTATAGCACCATAACAATATTGGAACATTTGTATTTTAGTATCTGACAGGATGAAACCAGCCTGCTAAAGAAGAACAAGCCTTCATAAAAAGGAATTCCCAGGCTGTTGAATTAAAAAAAAAACAAAACACTTTTTTAATGGTAAACATGCACAATAACTGTACTCTCCATGACTGCAACACAAGTTGGATTCTGTGAAGAAAAGTGACAATAATGTGACATTAGGGATCGACAATGTTGCCTTGCAACTCGTTCTTCCACTCCCAAATGAACAGCTAGTAAAAAGCAAGAGGGTTGATGTTCTACAGGGGGACACTAAGTTGTTATTACAAAATCAAGAGCACTCATCCTATTTAAGCAGATGTTATATAGTCCTTAGAAGACAAATATTGCACATGAATTATCGCTAAACCGTTGTCTCACTCAAGTGGTTAAACAGACCAATATCTAGTCTACATTAAGAGGCAGTAACAAGGCAATCACAGGCAGCTGAAAGTCTGTTACATCGGGTCCATTTGCTATCGCACACTGTGTGCTGTAGTTCTTCGGTGAGAGGAGGAAACCCTCTGCAACAAAACGCATATCGGGCACCCACGGGTGCTGAGGGAGCTGGCAGATGAGGTTGCTAAACCCCTCTCTATTATATTCCATAAGTCATGGCAGTCAGGTGAAGTCCCCACTGACTGGAAAAAGGGAAACATAATCCCCATTTTCAAAAAGGGAAAGAAGGAGGAACTGGGGAACTACAGGCCAGTCAGTCTCACCTCCATGCCTAGTAAGATCATGGAGCAGATCCTCCTGGAGGCACTGCTGAGGCAGAAAAATAACGAAGAGGTGACTGGGTACAGTCGACGTGGCTTCACCAAGGGCAAATCATGCCTGACAGACCTGGTGGCCTTCCATGAGAAGGTCACAACATCAATAGACAAGGGAAGAGCAACTGACGTCATTTACTTGGACCTGAGCAAAGCCTTTGATACTGTCCCACATGACATCCTGGTCTCCAAGCAGATAAAATATGGATTTGATGGATGGTCAGTTAGGTGGATAAAGAACTGGCTTGATGGCCACACCCAAAGAGTGGCTGTCAACGGGTACACGTTCAAATGCAAGTCAGTGACAAGTGGAGTCCCTCAAGGATCAGTGCTGAGACCAGTCTTATCCAACATCTTTGTCACCGACACGGACAGTGGCATTGAGTGCACCCTCAGCAAGTTTGCTGATGACACCAAGCTGTGTGGGGCAGCTGACACCCTGAAGGGTATGGATGTCATCCAGAGGGACCTTGACAGGCTGGAGAGGTGGGCCCAGGCCAACCTCATGAAGTTCAACAAGACCAAGTGCAAGGTCCTCCATCTGGGTCGGGGCAATCCCAAGCACTGATATAGGCTGGGCAGTGATTGGCTTGAGAGCAGCCCTGAAGAAAAGGACTTGGGGGTGCTGGTGGGTGAGAAGCTCAACATGAGCCGTCAGTGGGCACTTGCAGCCCAGAAAGCCAATCGTGTCCTGGGTGGCATCAAGACGTGTGTGGCCAACAGGTCGAGGGAGGTGATTCTCCCCCTCTACTCCACCCTTGTGAGAAGTGTGTCCAGTTCTGGAGCCCACAGTACAAGAAAGATATGGACGTGCTGGAGCGTGTCCAGAGAAGGGCCATGAGGGTGATCAGAGGGCTGGAGCACCTCTCCTGTGCAGACAGACTGAGAGAGCTGAGGTTGTTCAGTCTGTAGAAAAGAAGACTCTGAGGAGACCTTACTGTGGCTTTCCAGTATCTCAAGGGGGCCTACAAGAAAGCTGGTGAGGGGCTTTTTAGGATGTCAAGTAGTGATAGGACTAGGGGGAATGGATTAAAGCTAGAGATGGATCGGTTCAGACTGGACATTAGGAAGAAGTTCTTCACCATGAGGGTGGTGAGACACTGGCACAGGTTGCCCAGAGAGGTGGTGGAAGCCCCGTCCCTGGAATCTTTTAAGGCCAGGCTGGATGGGGCTCTGAGCAACCTGATCTAGTGGGGGATGTCTCTGCCCATGGCGGGGGGGGTGGAACTAGATGATCTTTAAGGTCCCTTCCAACCCTGACAATTCTATGATTCTATGATAACATGATGCATCCTTATGGCTGGCTGTAGCTCATCCAGTTGCAGCCCATGACCAAAAGGAATGATTTAGTATTGCTTGAGATCACTCTGCCTGGCTCTCTCCTTTGACTACATGGGCAGCTCACTGGGCACTACCATGGCTGAAAACTGTGGGGGACACACACAATGACGGGATGACGCCACACACCATTTATCCCTGTAGCACGTCCCTGTAGCTTTACTAGCACTCTGGCCCTGCTGCTGAGTTGAACTAACACCTCGGCATCGCGAAAGAGGAGTTTGTCCTTCCTAACATTACTCCTAGCTTGCTGCTTCTATTTTGCTTATCTGCCCTAGTAGTGAGTTAAATGACACTAAAAAATCCCACACAACAGCAAACACTAGAAAAAAAAGCACTGCAAACCAACGTTTTCTGTTTCACTGCATGAACCAGTTCACTGTTCAGGCAGAGGAGTGCCACTACATACAAGGTGGCCAAGACACACAAGGCAGTGGCAGAGAGAGAGAGGCTGCAGAGAAGTAATGACATTTTGCACTAGCAATGAGCCATAAGATAAGCCTGACTGCAGAAGAAAAGCTGCTCCCTCCCATTCCTCCCTCCTCCATCACCGTGTCTCCACTTCCATGCTTGGTTTAGCATTGCCCAAGTGACTACTAAAGCTGATCAAATTATCTAACCTAGAAGAAAACTAGTCTCTATTTTATAGCGTATTTTATAGTATAGCAGGTACAATCAGAGGAGTGAAGATGCTGACTGACTCAACAGAAGGGGGTGGTGTTAGGTAATCCAGGAGCATGAGAAGACAGATGGGACATCTCTCCCTTTCATGGCAGCAACTGTTTAGCCTAGCTCTACTCATCTAACTGCTCCCTCCAGTATCCAAAACATCCAGGGGAATGGATAAGGGAGATCTTTATTAAAGACAGCACATTACACTGGGAGGAGACTTCGCTTGACCAAACACTATTTGAAGTGTGAAGCATACCTCGTCAAAGATTCTGTCTTCCTGGAAGTGTCAGGAACACATCTACAAGTCTGTCTAGACTGAAACACAGACACGCATTTCCATCTCAAACTCTGTGCAACTAGATTAAGCATCGCTCTTCTGCTTCTTCAGGTCTGCCTTTTGCTTACATGTGTGACTACCAAGTACTATACAAAGTATCTGTGTGCAGCTTTCGTCTGGCCTGGATTTAGGAGGGATGTTTCTGCAGTAACTGGTTAAACATTCAAAAGTATAGTGAATTATGCACCGAGAAGCTCAAGCCGTGCTCCCTTACTTGCAGCATGTTCTTTGTACATGCCTAACAGAGCACATTTACAGAAGCTGAATGAGCCAGGCTGAGAGCTGTTATCTAAGAAGCAGAAGAGAATGTTGCAGTGATCAGAGGGAAGCAAAAAAGCGATTTAGCAGAAAGTGCAGATGAAAGAAAGCATGCTTTATTGTGAAAGGCCCGCGCTACAACTTCTGAAAGAACAATAAAGGTATCTACACACAATCTAGATGGGACAACACAAAGCCTCCCAAGTAACTTGTTGCATGGTCACACGCACCATGTTTCCAAGGGACCCGAGAAAGTCATTGAAGGGATCGACGAACATACAGACATAGTAAAAAAAGCAGATTCCTTACTTAAGATCATATCGCTAAAGAAATATAGAGATGAATTATGTGTTTTCACTGAGACAACAGGCATCTGGAAAGGGCTCTTCAGGGGTGGATGACTGACAGTCTTTCCAGGAGCTAGGCAAGATGCAGGAAACAGAGGTTCAAAACAGATCAGAATTAATTACAGGCCTAAAACACAGTTTTCATATAAAGTGACCTATGAAAATACCTTATGCCTTACATTAGAGAAAAGATGAATACATAAGAGCATGATAAAATATATAAAACAATGAATGACTGGGGGCTGTGGTGCCCAGATTTTGTCAGAGCAAAGATGCAGGTCCTAGGCAGGTCACAGACCACAGCAAGCTCTCCACCGCATGACAGAAAATTCACGTGATCAGCACATCCATTCTACCTCCACCCTGAGGTACATGCACACATCCCATCACATGGCTGGCTGGATACTCACTGGTTACACACTTGACCAAAAGTGAATGTGCGCACAGTGTCACGTGGCTTGCATGTATCTATCCTGTTACCAAAATGGGAGACGACAATCTCAGAAACAAGGAGTGGTCTGATGATTTCCAAACAGTTGATGCAGAACAGTTCCTCCTCACCTCCAAAGCATTCTAGTAAAAAGAGCACCAAGACCCATGAATGACAGGTTGGTTACCATGATCCAGAGGCAGGTGAAATATTCTTGCTTCAGTCTCGAACGAGGAACCAACAGCCTCTCAGTAACAAAAACCCCACACTACACCTAAAGGTTAGGACTTCAACAAGTTATCCAAAACCAAGGCGAAGGATCGGCATTCTTCTTTAAAGGAAAGAAGGGGTGGGGGGCGGTGAAGAACTAGATCTTGATAGACATTTTCAGGTTTAACCAGCAGCCCTCTGAGAACATCTGTCTTTGAGAAGAGTTGTTGAAAAGGGGCATTTGTAGTCCAGGCTGCCTTATCGTTAATATCACAGCCACTGAAGACTTCAGTTTAATCCACATAAGCATACAAACAGACAGATTTATTATATATGGGAAAACCATGAGGCTGAAGATCTTGACAATTTACTGCATAGTGTTGCTATAACCTAATCCTTTCCTCTGCCAGTCCTTTCTCTAAAACACAATGCACAAGACCTATAGATGCTTTTGCCTATATATTTCATATCAGCCAGTTATCTATCATCAAATAAATGCATTACAATAGGAATTGTAGGTAAAGGTTTTGTAACCTTTATTCAATGGATTGTTCAGCCTGGAAAAGAGAAGACTTCGGGGGGGCCTAATAGCTGCCTTCCAATACCTGAAGGGAACCTACAGGAAGGCTGGGGAGGGACTTTTTACAAGAGCGTCCACTGATAGGATAAGGGGAGATGGGTTTAAATTGAAGGAGAATAGATTCAGACTGGATCTTAGGCAGAAATTCTTCAGTACGAGGGTGGCAAGACTTTGGAATAAACTGCCCAGAGACGTTGTGGCTGCCCCCTCCGTGGAGGTGTTCAAGGCCAAGTTGGACGGAGCCTTGAGTAACCTGATCTAGTTGAGAGGCGTCCCTGCCAATGACAGGGAGGTTGGACTAGATGATCTCTAAGGTCCCTTCCAGCCTAGGCCATTCTATGATTCTATGACAATAAAGTTGTGCCACACACCACAAAATCATGATCCTACAGAACTGAACCATTTTCTGCAATGTTTAGGACAAAAGGAATAGAGTTTACAGACAGAATTTCTAAACATAATTCTTGGATCCACAGAAGATCAAAAGGGAAACTATATCAATAAGCACCACAGATTAAGCTCTCAATCTTGTACCAACCTCTGAACATAGCAAAATATCCAGTGGTCTGTTAAGAGCCCTCTGTGTGATGAAGCA